TGTCCAATTGCCGCAGTGCTTGTCAAAGCCAGTTCTGATTAATCTCCTTTGTCAGTGTGTCCTTTGCCATTCCCTATCACTCCTCCCTGAGAGAGACTCCTGTATGTATAAATATTATCTAGTCACTCACAACATTGTATTTCAGAATACAACTTGAAAATTACTTTTTTATTAAATACAACACCATTCTTATTCTGTTTTTCTTTCCCAGCATAGTAGGCCAAACGATTATCTGATTCAAAGCAACCAAAGCGGGCCCATGTCATCTCACGAATGCCTAGTATGCTAATATCAGTTCATGTGTTCCATTTCATTTTAATAATTTCCAGTTAAAATACTCTAGAACAATTGTATATAACTTTTTTCACTTCCATTTTATTCACCTTTAATTATTCATCTCATCTTTTCCAGAACGTAACTGAAAAACCAAACTCACCGTTACTGTGTTAATTTCTGTTCCTAGTGACCGTATAGGATAGAGTATAACTACCCTCATAGGGTTTCCAAGTCTGTACATCTTTGCAGAAACAGACTATTTAATCCTTCTGTCCCAGAGCCACTGGTGAGTTTAAGCTATTGACATATTGATTAGCAGACAAATTCTTTAACCACTGCACAACCAAGATTCCTTGACCATTTAAATCACATTGGCAGGTAAATCTCTCTCAAAATTCTGAAAATGGGAAAAATAATTCATTCAATAAATACAAAATGGAACAGGGAAGTTTCATATGCCTGGCTGTAGCAACTATGAAGAATTTGTGCAAAGGGCTTATGGACCTCAAGAAATATAAGAGTCATCAAAACAAAGGCTGTGATTATCCAGCCTTGCTTGAAGGGAAAAAAAATGAAATTAGGGAGCAGAGAAATGGATATGTTCTATAGGAAAGGCAGGTCATATATGGCCTTCTATGGGAACTCTGCTAAATTAGTGTGTAGGGAGTGGTGCTGTGAACCAAACATGGTGCCTAAGTGGCGGTTTGAATATCCCAGACTACAAGAAAGAAAGATAGGCAATATCTTCCTTAACAACATATGTTGTTGTTACATGACATCGAGTCGTTTGTGACTAATAGTGACCCTATGTACAAGAGCCCTAAACACCATTCTATCCTGTGCCAACCCAGCCATCTCAAATGCATTCACTCCCACCACTCCACTCACAGAATCAATACATGTCATCAAAGGTCTTCCTCTCCTGCACCGCCCCTCCACTCTGCCAAACATGATGTCCCTCTCCAGTGACCAGTCCCTCCTTGCAAAATGCCCAAAGTATGTCAGACGAAGCTTCAGAATCCTTGACTCCAAGGAGCCTTCCGGTTTCACCCTCTCCAGCACAAACCTGTTTGTTCTCCTAGCAGTCCATGGTATATTCAACACTATTCTCCAGCAACACAGCTCAAATGCATCAATTCTCTTTCTGTCATCCCTATTCATTGTCCAAGTCTCTGATGCATAGCACGTAATTGCAAAGTCTATAGCCCAGGTCAAGCTCACCTTAGTCTCCAGCCTGACATCGTTGCTCTTCAGTACTCTAGAGAAGTCCCTCACAGCTGACTTTCACAGTACAATTCATGTCTTGATTTCCTGGCTACTGTTACCAAGAGTGTTGATTGTGGAACCAAGTAAACTAAAACTGTTAACTATCTCAATTTCTTCACCATCCATACTGATGCTGCCAGTTGGCTCAGTGGTGAGAATCTTTGTTTTCTTGATGTTGAGCTTTAATCCATATTGGATGCTGCAATCCTTGACTCTTTGCAGCAGGCGCTTCAGGTCCTCTTCAGTTTCAGCAAGCAGGGTTGTGTCATCTGTATAACACAGGTTGTTGATTATTCTTCCACCAATCCTGATGCCACATTCCTCCTGTACAGCCCAGCGTCTCAGATGATCTGTCTTGCATACAGATTGAAAAGGTAAGGAGACAAAATACAACCTTGATGGAACCCCTTCTTGATTTTCAACCATGTAGTGTCTCCTTGCTCTGTTCTGAAACTGCCTCTTGGTCCAAGTATAGGTTTCTCATTAGCACAATCAAATGTTCTTGGACTCCCATTCTTCTCAGAGTCAGCCATAGCTTGTTGTGATCCACACAGTCAAAAACCTTTGCATAGTCAATGAACCACAGATCGACATTCTTCTAGTATTCTCTGCTTTCTGCCAAGTCCATCTAACATTAGCTATAATATCCCTAGTACTACGACCTCTTCTAAATCCAGCCTGCACATCTGGCCTTCTGTTGACAAAACCTGTAGGGTCAGCTATAAGTCAATTCCAACTCCAAGGCAGTGAGTTTGACTTAAACATGAACTGTGTAAAAGATCTTTGATTTGTGAATATTTTTTTGCTTATACTCATCAAGAAATGCTCTGATTACTGATACAGCCTTTAATCTTCACGCAAACAAAGGTGTCACTTTAATTCTGATAACATAAAAGGAATCTTAATTGTACCCCAGGATTTCTGTTAGCAAGAAATGTCACATTTCTTTCGAAATTTGGTCATTTGATTGTCACTGAGTTGTTGTTGTTTTAATAAATAAATATTTATTTCTAGACGACATAGATTGACACAGTAACTGAAAAAAATGGGCTCATAAACAATGACACAATACTGGGTAATATTTGGTTCCATTGTGAGTGCAAACCAACTTGTTGGCATGGAACTAGAATGGTTCTGGACTAGTAAACTTCAAAGTACAAATGAATCAAGCACGTGTTATTTTCTTTATGAGATAACTAGTCTTGATCAGGTAGTCCTACTATTCAGCAAATGTGCAGAGCCAAGACTTTGGCTCTGGTATCTTTGTGGTAAGAAATAATATCAATGCAAAGGTATGTCTTGCAAATCCACCTGCTGCTACAAAGGATGGGCATCTCCTCTCTATAAAGACTGACTCTGAAAACCAACTTGATGGTCAGCTGCGGGTCAGTTCCAACTTGAACAACACAAAGCCTATTTAGAGGTAATATTTCTTTCTCCTAAAGTTTTAAATATTTTTTAACATAAAGAAAGGCAACATTTATTAAAAAAAAAATTATGAAAATATTGTTACATGGAGTAAACACTTGGGAATTGGTTTCACTGGGTTTTTTTTAATTAGTTTGCTTGCTTACTAAGTTTGGATACATTGTGTATTATACTATTTTTTACCATTATTTTCTAATTTCTCTACAAATTATGTCAACTCTTCATTTTCTATGCCCTTCCCACTAACCTTTGTCATTTTTAGTGTGCTTGAGATGATTCTTGAATATAATCCACATGGTCACCATGGAAATTATCATTAGACCCAGTGACAAACCCAGTCCTACTATCCAGAGATTGATTTTAGGGAATAAAACACCTGGAAAACAACGATTATCTCACTTGAAATTCAACCAGGTAACTTTCTTTCTAAGAATAAATTATCACATACTTTTTCTGAAGATATGTTACTATAAAAATTAGAGGTTCTAAGCCCACAACATTTCCTGAAATGCTAGGAATTCAAGAATCTTGAAGAGAATTCTATTCCTCTACTGCTCCTCAAAGAACTGAAACCCAGAAGCTCTTTCAGAATATTGAATGTTTTAAAATGTTGGAAATACTGGAAATATGAAAATAAGGCAACTCATAATCTAATTTGAACAAGTATTATTATCTTATCCTTATATTTGCAACAACAATTTCTTTTATAATACTAAAAAATGAGTTTTTACCCATTTTCTTTTATAATAAAATACTTTAAAAAATGAGGTTTTTCCCCATTCACTTCTCCTTCCCTCTAGGTGTCCTCTAACTTCACATTATACTATATACTTTTTATCCTTCTACATCTTATATATTCAAGTGTGAAAGTGTAATGATTTGGGAAAGTAGAGAGACATGTGGAGCTCCTCTAAGTTAGAACAAGCATTCTCATGACCTTGAATGACAAGTCAAGATTTATTGATCCAGATCATAAAGACTGAAAATTACGTCAAGGCAAAGATTCTCCTGCCCAGATGTTATCAACCTAAATAAGTATTCATGGTTTTGGTGCAAGTAGTTACTACTTAATAATGTTAGTTCAAAATAGATAACAAAGGCATTCTCATTCACAACTCTGATAACACACTTTTAATTATGAAATCATTTTAATTAATGAATGACAAAATAACTGTTTTCCTGAATATGAAAAAGTAATATTTTCTTTTTTCAACTTCTAGATTGTGTTTACAAGAACGTTCTACTTCTACTACTCAAAGGTTACTATATTTGACTTTCCCTTTAATGTTTCTTCACAGATTTCTTCGGTTTACAAATGTGTGTAAAAGGCTTGATTGTATTCCTTCTCTTACTTTTCTTTCCTGAATTTTAATTTTTAAAAACTAAAAATAACTATCCATTTCTATTTTCATTTTCTTTAATATTTCCAACATCAAGTTCTTGCAAAACATTTTAAACAAGTATTACTTGTCAAACTGTATAAATTGAGAAAATTTATTTATTAAAAATCAGACATTTATTTATTAATCCACTGTACAAAAATACATTGTGATCTCCATATCGGCTAAGTTTTGAGGACATTACAGAAGTAAAATAAAACATCCTCATATGACTGATACTCTATCTGGATTAATAGTGAAATACATAATCTGAATAATTTAAGAATAGGGGCACTTAACACAAATGTTTTGTTCTTTGAAAGTCTGCTGTCAAGAACCTGTCTAAAATAATGAAAAGGGATAATGTCAGCTTACAGAATAAGGTGTGCCTGATTCAAGCCATTTTCTTTCCAATCACCTACAATGTATCTAAGAGCTGGACAATTAATAAAGCTTACAGAAGAAAGAACAATGCCTTTGAGATATGGTGTTGGAGAAGAGTGCTGAGTGACCCATGAACTGCCAAAAGAGCAAACACTTATGTTTTGGGGAAAGTGCAGCCAGCGTTCTCCTCAGAGGAAACATGGTAAAGCTTTGCCTCACATGCTTTGAGCACGTTGTTAGGAGAAGCTATTCCTTGGAATAGGACATCATGTTTGGAAAGATCAGAGAACAAGAGGAAGACCCTCAATGAGATGAATTGACACAGTGGCTGCAGTAATGCAATCAAGTATAATCAGCAACAATAAGGAAGGAACAGACTAGGATGGAGTTCAGATCTGTTGTTCATAGGGTTGCTATCAGTAGTATTCAATTTGGTGGGAACCTAACAACAACAACAACAACACATATTACGTTGAGGACTGCTTCTTGAAAAGGGGGATATCTTGGTATGTCTCAGGTGATTATTTAGAGAGAGCATAAGAATTACACAATAAATAGAACATCAAATGTTTGAGTATTTCTAAAGGAATTAGTAATAAGAACCTAAGGAGAGGAATCAGAGAAGAAGGAAGGGGCAAAATATTAAGTAAGAGGCATAATAAAAGTCAAGAAAGGGGAGCTTTGTTAACAGTTGCAAGGCTTCTCCTCAGATTATGAAACCAATTAAAGAAAGTTGCATGGATGCTTGTTACTTTTTTAAAAGTCTATTTGGAAGGGGAAAAAAGTCTATTTGGGTAGCTATAAAGAGTAGATTAGGTATCTGAACTCTTCTTTGCCAGTAATGTGAATTATACTAGTTAATCCTTTTAACAACCTTATGAAGTCAGCACTACTTATTTTCTCTATTAAGTGTGTGGAGAAAGGACAAAGAAAGTCCTATGTGTGGCTCCAAAGTCACAAAGATAGTAGATGCCACCCCCAGGAATCAAACTCTGTTTGAAATATAGAAGAATAAGTTCCAAATATAATAAATGGCTTTTGTTGTGCAGTAAAATTATGAGAATATTATAATTTAGGAAATGTCTCAATATGCTCCATTATATTTAAATACTTTTGAACATATATGCATTCTTTGTGGTGCATGCAACCCAAAGTCATGCAGTTCTAATCTGAGATGCTCCATAAGCAAAAGCTGAGTAATCTCTCCTGTGATTGATTTACTGCCTCTGAAAATCCACTGGATTGTCAGCTATGAGTCAGTTCTGACTTGACAGTACCCAACTCTATAAAGTAAAATAATGATATTTCTTAGACATCTAGAACACAAAATATGTAATTCACTGTCTACATTAAGAGTTATAAAGTAATGAGCTAGAATATTCTTCTAGGTGTGTCAGCCATACATCTTTCCCAGTTACACCTTCTTGAGCCTTAGGTAACTTGAATATTCAACTATCAATTCTCACAGAAACTGACCTGACAAAGCAATGTGAGCTTCTTTCACCACATGGAGTAATGGGTTTCTTATGAAACATGACACATTTCCTTTTGAGCTTTCATCCACTGTAACAGATGTTTGCACATGAAATAAACCATTTTCTTCTGTTATCTTTGCCTCAGAGGTTGGTGATAAATTCTGTTGCTGCAAATCCCTCCATTCCATTTCAGGCTTTGGGTACCATCCTGTGGAAGTGCAGGTCAGCTTAAATCCTCCAGTTTTACTATGTTCAATGTGAATATGTGGTATTTTACCTGTGACTGGGAAGGTGAGAGGTAATAAAGCACACTTATTCAATAATATGTCCATTTCATGTAAGTCAAGGAACTTGTGCTCATTAGTTACATGAATCTCAATTCTCTTATTTGTGGAAGTAGGGGTTTAAATAAACCACAAATGACCACATAGAACATTAATATTAGAAAATCAGGCCTGTTATACTCACAGTTAACAAATTACCTAAATATCAAACAGGTATTTTTACTTTCTATTTCCTTTCTCCCTTTTGATGTGTTTCTCATTATTTTCTCTGATTAATTCCTGAAGCTGAGTAGAAGAATGTTCTATCAATACGATTGCAATTTATAAACTTAAGCACATGTTAATGGATGTTTTCCCAATTTCACTTCAAAATTCACTGAAGTCATGAATTCTGTCACAATTTTTTTGCACATTCCTCTTAATATTTAAAAACCAAGAATGAGATGAGGCTGTTCTGGAGCTAAAGTATAGTGACCTCTTCTCAGAAAGATAGAACAAGAGGTTGACATGCCTGCAGGGATAACATTTTCAGTGGAAACTGATTCTTGATCCTGGATTAAACTTTTTGGGAGAGAGAAGTGAATTAAAGAATGTATTTCAGAAACCACACAAACTAGATAATCACAGGAAAGCCTGGAGTTTCTTGTAGGGAGTGTTGGGGATTCTGCATGATTAGAAAAGCACTCAGTGCTGCTCAACACATATTCTATACTACACTAGTACGGGCAACTCTACTAGTGGCTTCATATCATGAAGAATGACCCAAAGTACTTATTGGATAGGATGAGAATGTAGGTGCTTAATTAAAGGGTGAGGTCATTTAACTACCTTTGTTCCCTAGCCAACTAAATAAGAGAACATATTTCCTCCTATTAAAAAACAAAATTGATCCAACAGAATGTAGCCATTATCAAACAATATCAGGAATACCATATGCAAATAAAATCTTGCTGAAGATTACTCAAAAGCACCTGGAAAACTACATCTACAAGGAACTGCCAAAAATTTATGGTGGATTCAGAAGAGGTCTTGGCATGGAGGATATATTGTTGATGAACTTGAAGAAAATTCATCAACAACTTGCACTATAGAAATTATTCAATCTTGCCAAAAGAAAGTGAAGAATACTTTAAGCATCTGATGAAGAAGATAAAAAACTATAGCCCTTGAAATTTACTATATCACAAAATCAAGGGAGAAAAATCCTCATACTGGACCAATTGGAAAACGTTCTGATAGATGGAGAAAATATTGATATCAATTATTTCTGTTCCATTGGATATACAGTCAACATTCATGGTAGCAGCAGTAAAGAATTCAAGATACTGCATTAGGAAAATGTGCTGTCAATGATTTCTCCAAAGTGCTATTGAGCAAGGATGTTAGAGTAAAGATTATATGGCACCTGCTCCAAGATGTAATATTGCCAATTGTTTCCTAGGCATCTAAAACTTGGACAATGAATAAGGATGAGAGAAATGATGGCTTTGAGTTATGGTGTTGGAGAAAAGTACTGAGCATCCCACAGACTGCTAAAAGAACAAAGAAATTTCTCTTTGAAGAAATGAAACTAGAGGACTCATTATAAGCAAGGTTAAACAAATTTTGTATCACATAGTTTGGGCATGTTGTCATGAGGTATAAATGTTTAGAAAAAGATATTCTTGGAAAGCTAGAGGATAAAAGAAAATGAGGAACGATCTCAACAAGATGCATTAGCAAAGTATAACAATGGGTTTGAACAGTATTTGATATCATGAGAATGGTGAAGAATAATGTTTTGATCTGTTTTGATCTGTCTTCATAGAGTTGCTATGGGTCATTTGACTCATCAACACCCTAGCAACAACAACAAAAGGGTGAGTAGACGTCATGTGTATTTTTCTTGTACGCAAATTACATGCAACTTAGAAAGTTAACTAGACTTGGTCTTACATTTAACATTAATTAATTAATTAATTAGAAAGACACTAAGATTGTTGTTGTTGTTGTTATGTACCATCAAGTTGGAACTGACTCATAGTTGGCCCTCTAGTGGGTTTTCAGAGGCAGCAAATCATCTAGTAGACTGCCTGTTCGTCTCTTGCAGAGCAGCTTGTAAATTCAAACTGCATGCTGTTTAGTTGTTATGTTCTTGGGTAGAAAGAATAAATGCCTTCGTATTGAAATTTGAAATAGTGAGAAAAATGGTATTTCAGAAAACCTTCACCTCTTAGTGCCTCAGAAGTATTTTTAAAAAGAGCAGAGGGATGAGGATGGGTGGAGGATGGGTGTTATTCATAGGATCACACAACTTGATGGGTGAGGGAGCAGTAAAGGAAATGAGAAAAATTTTGTGTGAAAAATGATGTATTTAAACTTTGTAAATAAATCAGTATAAAACATTTAAAAATGAAAAAAAGAAGGTGGAAACCCTCTAAACCATAAGAAACCTCACCAAAAAAAGATATTCTAGAAAATATGTTAATTAACCCCTACTTATGGCAATGTGAGCCACAAGCAATAGATCCGAATAAGAAATGTGGGCTCAGAAAAATATGGAGGTAGTTAACAGACAAAATGAGAAGGCAGTGGAAAGCTCTTTTATAATTGGTGGTAGAATTACTTCATGCAAAGAACACAAAGAATATGGGATAGGTCAAAGCAAGCTAATCCAGGGAATTAAAATATTTCTCACTTGATGTTAGGTCTCAACATCAAAGTCATTGGTAAGACTTTGTTCATGTTAAGGAATATCTGAAATACCTCTAATGCTTCTAAGTTTATATGCAAGTTACCACAGAATGGAAAATAAATTATCCTAGTTCAGAAGACGATATCCAGGGACAGTATGAGCACCATTAAGTCATTCATCCAGCAACAGGAGTTCCTAGACAATTGTCTCCAGTAAGAGTGACTCTTGTTTACAAGTGAGAAGCTTGGTATACCTTCTAAATTTTGCAAGCTTTCTATCAACAGGAAATGTATTTTTAACAAATAGAAGCAACAGTGCAGAAAAGATGGACTGATAATGGGCTTCTCAGATACCTCTTGCCTTGCTCCTTCTGGGTTTTGGAACAGAACCAACCTCTTTAGATGAGATGAGTTTTCAGAAATTTTCCGAGATGGAGCATACAAGACTCCCTGCTCTTTTGTACCATTAAAACAATTACGTTGACAAAAAAAAAAAAAAGTTCAATTGCAATATGAGGACACTGTAAAAGACCACTTAATTTCATCTCTTTAACATTCCATTGTGGTGTTTATAAAGATTGGGTCATTTTTGTGTATTTATGCCAGTATCTGTTCTACCAGTTTAGATGACTAGATTTAAAAAAAAAAAAAAAAGAGGAGCAGAACTCTCCTTTTTTTCTTAATTTTTTTTATTCCAGTGGCCTACCTGTTACCATCAGTTGGAACTGTGCTTCATTGAAGTGGGTGGAGCTTGCAAAGAAACAGCTATACTCCCCTTCATCTGAAAGGTGAACGTGATCAATCTTCAGGGCCACCTGCCCTTTGGTGATATTCTCCTTCAAGAACTCTGTTCTCCCTTGATACTCTGGACTCTGAAGCCCCATATTCTCCTGGGAACTCTTATAATGATGCACTAGGACTAAAGAACGGAGATTATACCATCTCACCTCCATGTTCTGTGCATCCATCGGTGGACTGATGTGGCAGGAGAGCACAATCTCCTCTCCTATTACGGCAGTGACAGCTGTATCTGGTCCCACCACATGAAATGTCCCTGAAAAAAAAAGTGATAGAATCAGCTCTGTAGCATGTATAGTTGTAACTATTTGATATAAAAAAAAATGGTAGCTAAGACAATAGTTCTTTTTGGTCTGTAGAGTTTTCAGATGGACTATAATGAAAGACCTATGGATTTACTTCTAAAAATCAGGCAATAAAGGCAATTACCTAACACAAATAGCTGCCTCAATGGCCAGGTGTAATAAAAGAGGTGTAGAAAAGATGATGTGAAGTCCTCTTAACATTAGGTAAATTATTATTGTATTATTGAGACTGTGTTTACAATAGATTGGGAGCTCTGGTAGCCTAGTGGCAAAAAGCTGCACTGCAACCCCAAAGGCACACTGTTCAAATCCATCAGCTGCTCCGTAGGAGAAGGATGGGCAATCTCCTTTTGTGTAAGTAACTGCCTGGAAATGGAAAGCCCATTGGAGGGTCAGCTATGTACACATGAACAATGGCTTGTAATAGATTGTATCTGCTTCAAATTTCAGATTTCTTTCTGTCATTGTTTTCTCATTAATGAATTGCTTTGATGCCACACTTCCCATTACAGTAGATTGGATGTAATACACTTTGTAACACTAGATTAAAAGTTGGCTTTTTTTAGCTAGTTAGCCTCTGGTCTCCAGATACCTTAAATGCAGACACATGGTCTTGCAAATCAGCATGTTCTCACAAATTAGCACCAGCTATGGG